CAGTGCTCTCTGGTGCATCTCCCTCTCTGACTCTCTACCAGCGCTCTCTGGTGCACTCCCCTCTCTGACTCTCTACCAGTCTTCTGGTGCCACTTCCCTCTCTGACTCTCTACCAGCGCTCTCTGGTGCAACTCTCCCTCTCTGGACCTCTCTCCAGCGCTCTCTGGAGCCACTCTCCCTCTCTGACTCTCTACCAGCGCTCTCTGGTGCACTCGCCTCTCTGATCTCTACCAGCGCTCTCTGGAGCACTCTCCCTCTTGAACTCTCTACCAATCGCTCTCTGGTGCACTTACCTCTCTGACTCTCTACCTGTGCTCTCTGGTGCACTCTCCTCTCTGACTCTCTACCAGCGGCTCTCTGGTGCACTCTCCCTCTCTGACTCTACTACCAGCGCACTTAGGAGCACTCTCCCTCTTGACTCTCTACCAGCGCTCTCTGGTGCCACTCTCCCTCTCTGACTCTCTACCAGCGCTCTCTGGAGCACTCTCCCTCTCTGACCTTCTCTACCAGCGCTCTCTGGTGCACTCTCCCTCTCTGACTCTGTCTACCAGTGCTCTCTGTGCACTCTCCCTCTCTGACTTCTCTACCAGCGCTCTCTGGTGCACTCTCCCTCTCTGACTTCTCTACCAGTGCTCTCTGGGTGCACTTCCACTCTCTGACTCTCTACCAGCGCTCTCTGGTGCACTCTCCCTCTCTGACTCTCTACCAGCGCTCTCTGGTGCACTCTCCCTCTCTGACTCTTACAGTGCTCTCTGGTGCACTCTCCCTCTCTGACTTCTCTACCAGCGCTCTTGGTGCACTCTCCCTCTCTGACTCTCTTACCAGCGCTCTCTGGAGCACTCTCCCTCTCTGACTCTCTACCAAGTGCTCTCTGTGCACTCTCCCTCTCTGGACTCCTACCAGTGCTCACTGGAGCCCAGTCTCCCTCTCTGACTCTTAACCAGTGCTCTCTGGAGCATCTCCCTCTCTGACTCTCTACAGTGCTTCTCTGGCTGCACTCTCCCTCTCTGACTCTTCTACCAGTGCTCTCGGGAGCCACTCTCCCTCTCTGACTCTCTACCAGTTGCTCTCTGGAGCACTCCCCTCTTCTGCACTCACTACAGTGCTCTCTGGAGCACTCTCCCTCTCTGACTCTCTACCAGTGCTCTCTGGAGCACTCTCCCTCTCTGGACTCTCTACCAGTGCTCTCTGAGGTGCACTCTCCCTCCTCTGGACTCTCTACAGTGCTCTCTGGAGCACTCTCCCTCTCTGGACTCTCTACCAGTTGCATCTATGGAAGCACTTCTCCTTCTGACTCTCTACAGTTGCTCTCTGGTTGCACTCTCCCTCTCTGACTCTCTATCCAGCGCTCTCTGGTGCACTCTCTCCTCTCTGACTCTCTACCAGTGCTCTCTGGTGCCACTCTCCCTCTCTGGACTCTCTACCAGCGCTCTCTGGTGCACTTCTCCTCTCTGACTCTTACCATTTTTCGTATGACGTGTATGATGACGTATGACGTGTATGATGACGTATGACGTGTATGATGACGTATGACGTGTATGATGACGTATGATATGTATGATGACGTATATGTATGATATGTATGATGACGTATGGTATGTATGATGACGTATGGTGTGTATGATGACGTATGATATGTATGGTGACGTATTATATGTATGGTGACGTATGATATGTATGGTGACGTATTATATGTATGGTGACGTATGATATGTATGATGACGTATGATATGTATGGTGACGTATGATATGTATGGTGACGTATGATATGTATGATGACGTATGATATGTATGATGACGTATGATATGTATGGTGACGTATGATATGTATGATGACGTATGATATGTATGATGACGTATGATATGTATGGTGACGTATGATATGTATGGTGACGTATGATATGTATGATGACGATATGATATGTTGATGACGTATGATATGTATGATACGATTATGTATATGTATGGTGACGTATGATATGTATGATGACGTATGATATGTATGATGACGTATGATATGTATGGTGACGTATGATATGTATGATGACGTATGATATGTATGATGACGTATGATATGTATGGCGACGTATGATATGTATGGTGACGTATGATATGTATGGTGACGTATGATATGTATGATAACGTATGATATGTATGGTGACGTATGATATGTATGGTGACGTATGATATGTATGGTGACGTATGATATGTATGATAACGTATGATATGTATGGTGACGTATGATATGTATGATGACGTGTGATATGTATGATGACGTATGATATGTATGATGACGTATGATATGTATGGTGACGTATGATATGTATGGTGACGTATATGTATGGTGACGTATGATAGGTATGGTGACGTATATGTATGGTGACGTATGATATGTATGGTGACGCATGATATGTATGGTGACGTATGATAGGTATGGTGACGTATATGTATGGTGACGTATGATATGTATGGTGACGCATGATATGTATGGTGACGTATGATAGGTATGGTGACGTATATGTATTGTGACGTATGACGTGTATGGTGACGTATGATATGTATGGTGACGTATGATATGTATGGTGACGTATGACGTGTATGGTGACGTATGACGTGTATGGTGACGTATGACGTGCATGATGACGTATGATATGTATGGTGACGTATGACGTGTATGGTGACGTATGACGTGTATGATGACGTATGATATGTATGGTGACGTATGATGTGTATGGTGACGTATGACGTGTATGGTGACGTATGACGTGTATGATGACGTATTATATGTATGGTGACGTATGATGTGTATGGTGACGTATGACGTGTATTGTGACGTATGACTTGTATGGCGACGTATGATGTGTATGGTGACGTATGACGTGTATGGTGACGTATGACGTGTATGATGACGTATGATGTGTATGGTGACGTATGACGTGTATAATGACGTATGATGTGTATGGTGACGTATGACGTGGATGAAGACGTATGATGTGTATGGTGACGTATGACGTGTATGATGACGTATGACGTGTATGATGACGTATGACTTGCATGATGACGCATGATGTGTATGATGACATATGACGTGCATGATGACGTATGATGTGTATGGTGACGTATGATGTGTATGGTGACGTATGATGTGTATGGTGACGTATGACGTGTATGATGACGTATGGCGTGTATGATGACGTATGACGTGTATGATGACGTATGACGTGTATGATGACGTATGACGTGCGTGATGACGTATGATGTGTATGGTGACGTATGATGTGTATGGTGACGTATGACGTCTATGATGACGTATGACGTGTATGATGACGTATGACGTGTATGATGACGTATGGCGTGTATGATGACGTATGACGTGCATGATGACGTATGATGTGTATGGTGACGTATGACGTGTATGGTGACGTATGGCCTGTATGGTGACGTATGACGTGTATGATGACGTATGACGTGTATAATGACGTATGATGTGTATGGTGAGGTATGACGTGTATGGTGACGTATGACGTGTATGATGACGTATGACGTGTATGATGACGTATGATGTGTATGGTGACGTATGCCGCGTATGATGACGTATGACGTGTATGATGACGTATGACGTGTATGGTGACGTATGTCGTGCATGATGACGTATTCCATGTATGGTGACTTATGACGTGTATGGTGACGTATGACGTGTATGGTGACGTATGACATGTATGGTGACGTATGACGTGTATGGTGACGTATGACGTGTATGGTGACGTATGACGTGTATGATGACGTATGATGTGTATGGTGACGTATGCCGCGTATGATGACGTATGACGTGTATGATGACGTATGACGTGTATGGTGACGTATGTCGTGCATGATGACGTATTCCATGTATGGTGACGTATGACGTGTATGGTGACGTATGACATGTATGGTGACGTATGACGTGTATGGTGACGTATGACGTGTATAGTGACGTATGACGTGTATGATGACGTGTGACGTGCATGATGACGTATGACGTGTACGGCAGAGTATATAATAACTGTTTGAAGTGTTTCACGTGTATTGTGACGTGTACGTGTATAGTGACGTGTGGGAGATGGGTGTGTGGAGGTACACTTGTGTTAGATGTCAGGTGTTGAACACACCTGCAGGTGGGTGTGTGGAGGTACACTTGTGTTAGATGTCAGGTGTTGAACACACCTGCAGGTGGGTGTGTCAAGGTACACTTGTGTTAGATGTCAGGTGTTGAACACATCTGCAGGTGGGTGTGTCAAGGTACATTTGTTAGTTCAG